TCCATGTCTCACGTCGTGAGACCAGTCCCGAACAAAAGTTTTCATGCAACCCATCTCACGTCGTGAGGCTTCTTTTCATCCAAAATCCAACCTTTTGACCCCTCGAAACCCTACTTTGATTCATCTTGGAAAACGAGTGTTACATTTTTGTCTCAATGTTGTATGTATTAATGGCTTCTGTTACACCCCAAAATTTTCACATTTTTAGAATGTTATGGGTATAAAATCATTTCGGGGATTAACCTGTATTTAACAAAAACTCGGTCCCACAAAAAGAAAACATTTACAATTAAAACATTGGGTATTACCATTAAGCATCATACAAGCCATAAAATGCAAATATGAATTACATCAATACCATTAATAATCAACTTGACAAGCTCCACTCCATTCCTTATCTCTTAACTTCTAACTTTCATCTATCATCTTTTCACCTTAAGTGGATTAACTGTAACTTGAGATACATGACATTAAAAATAGATACGCAAGATAATAATATTTCGTGAGATACACAAGTTTGTGAACCAAACATTTATTACATTTCTATCAAAAACATTTCATTAAAGACAACTTATTTCAAAATACATTTTCCCACATTTCATTCCCTTCTAGCATTAAGGGCTAATTTCAGTATTATACTGTTTCCATTTATATAATTAGGGTCTTACAATACCCCCAAGTCTATACCAAGGTGAAAAGAACACAATTAGATCACCCTATCATCATATCTTTTAGGCAATCTATCTCGCGAATGGGTAGCATCACCCCCAATAGATTCCTATATATCCCGTTACGGGGATATATAACTCAAGTGATATATTATTGTCATTACTATTAAAGCTTTACACATTCCTTACATTAGTATAAAAATCCCTATTTCAAAAGAAAGCACCTTCATTTCAAAATTATTTCAAACATTATCATGTTAACCAAAAATCATTTTGCCATGTACCCCAAAGTGGGAAAAAGCCATCACGTACTCACCCAAGTCACCAATATAGATTGCTACTCCTTTCCAACTCAATTCCACAATCAAACACTCCTTAGAAACCATCTATATAATGTAGTTGAAGGTCAAAAAATGAATAAAATACCATTAAGGATTATAAAAATTATAAACTCTTCTAAACATCATTTTTCAACCATTTATAACTCATGTAATTGGAATTAGGTCAAAAGGATGAGCCAAAATCAAGTTAGAAAAGTGAGTGGCAACCTAATCCTTTCTCAGAAGGAAACATGATCATGTTTCTCTATGCCTTGAGAAAACACGATCATTTTTTCAAGGCTGCACACACACAATCTCGTTTTCTTTCTTCTTAAAATGGCACTCTACTTTGCATAGTTCTTGAAGGCCCTTTCCAAATCACTTTGTACCATTTGTATAGGTTCTCACACATGATTAGGAGTTATTTTATCATCCAAAAACACTCCATTTAATTCATTAAGTGCTCATTGAAACCTTTAAGAACATGATGATCATCAAGTTTTAAAAGAAGGGTTAACTAGTCTATTTTGCAATTGAACATTCTAAAACTCACATAGTTTGTTCCCAACTTATTGAACACTCATATGAATGTTGTTAAGTATATAAAGCCATAAAAATTCCCATTGTAAGTACTTAATTTGACTATGGAATCCTCAATTCCACTATTAAATTCTAAATTCTTATAAACTCTCAATTGAAAGGGTTTAGAGCTCAAGTTGTTCAATAACACTCTTCAACCCATATGACTTATTCCAAAATCATTTAATACATAATTGGGTGTTCTAAAGTGCTTAATATTATACCCATTACTATTTTTAATCACTTAATGCAACACATGATTGCCAATTCCATTATATATTTGCTAAATTCCCAAATTACCCTTTTGGTTAGAAATCCCATGGAGTCATCAACTAATCAAATGACACTTTGTGTTGTAGAATTATAATTATCCCAAGAGCGTCCCTCCATTTTTATGTAGTTTATTTACTCCACAAATATCAAGTCTAACTAGGTTTGTATGGTTTTTCACCATATTTTCCAAAAATCAATACAATTCCATGTTTATACTTGATTCTACCATCATGGGTGAATTTGAGCATTTCAATTGAATTTGTTGCTATAAAATATCATCTTGGTCATAGAATCCATTCCAATTTCATCATCATATGTAATATCCCTCGATTTGGGTTTTCTAGGGTTCATGAGGGTTTTAACCCAAGCCATCAAATCCACCAATACAGTGATTGGAATCACAAAAACTACTCAAGGGAGGTTAGAAACCAAAACCCTAACCATTAGGAGATTCTAATTTCAACATTAGGGTTTTTCCTAAACCTTGAATTCGAAATTTAGAGGTAGGAGAGAAGAGATTATACCTAGCAAGCTTTTGATTCCTCTTTCCTTTGCTTGGATGCTCAAATCTTGTCTTGGATCAAGCCTTAGATGCAAAAATGGAAGAAAATCACCATATGAGAGCTCATATCTTCTCTTCCACGTATAACTTTGGCAGTCCCTTCCATCAATTGAGTCAACCCTTTGGTCAACTCACTTTGTCAACTTGACACTTTTGACCCATTAACTTTTAAAAATGTCATTATTTTTACTTCTAACTTTCTAAACTTCATATCAACTAATGATATAATTATTCGTTGATAATTTAATGTAATTTAACTACATAAATTAATTTTCATTTATTTTCTTTATTAATTTAAGAACTTAGTCTTAAATTTTAGGATGTTACAACTTCCTTAAAGGCATCCATACCCCATCCAAATTTGCTAAAACTACTTGATCATAATACCTAATAGTTGTGTATTTGTTACTGCCCTTTGTCTTTGATTAAGCAACCTATCTTGAATGAAACTCCCAATCGTGGTGATTAAGGATCTACAAATAATGAACTACAAACTTGACATAATTATACAAACAAGTAATAAATTATAATAATAAATCTAACAACAAATAAGTAATAAATTATAACACAACTAATTTGTATTGTAATTGTCAAATCCATCTTAGATTTTAGATATAGAACACCAAGTTCATCGACGAGTTCATACTTTTCACATAGAACTGATTTCAAGTTCATAAACTTTGATGGTTATGATTTGGATCGAGATGTCAATCTTAATTTCACAAATAATCGATTTCAATTTTACAGGGAAGAAAAACCATTTCAATTCTAATATCTATAATACATGTCTCCTAAAATGGATCAGTGTGTGACATAAAGGAGTCAAAGGCATGGTTTTTGAGGAAAACCATATGTCATGATGTGATAGGAAGGTTGTCACTACGTGACATACCAACTATGAGAACACGTTTTCGGAAGGCTCTTACGACGTGACGAGGGTATGGTCACGACGTGAAGATGGTTGCAGCTCAAGCCCATGATCTTTTAGGGTTTCCTCCATATTTAAATTTCCTATACCGGATTCGGGGCATAATTTTCGGCCTCCATCACTCTCTAGAACCTTGAAGTAAACCCTAATACCCTCTTCTCCATTTGTGATCCTACCCTTGGTGTTTTAGTGCCTTTGGAAGGAAGAAGAAGGCCCTTGTGGTATAGAGAGCCTCTTTTCAAGCTTGGAGTTTCCATTTGAGCCATTTATGGACCATTGTAAGTGTTCAAGATCCAAACTTTATGTTACATGTTTCCAGATCTAAACTCATTGTCCCGTTTTCTTCATGTTGTGGAAGTTTGGATGGAAGGATTCCATAAAGTTTGCAACTTTATGGGTCCTTGAGGTGCCTTGAGTGTTATATATGTTGGATTTAAAGTTTGGCTATATTTTGAAGAAATTCATGTGATTGTGGTTCCATTTTTCATCATTTTGACCTATCTTGAGCTCAAGACATACATTGGACATGCATGTTTATAAAGCATTGACTTTTAGAATTTTTTTGTGTAAGAAGGCCCTGTGGAAAGTTGGAATGGATGGCTTTAAGGATTAAGGGTTGAATGCATTAAGTTGTCCCAAATTGCAGTAGTCATGACGTGACCATATGGAGGTCACGACGTGACGATGAGACTCCCTGATTGTTTTGAACGGATTCTGTCATGATGTGGTGGCATGGCCATCACGAGATGACAATGATTTTGATCATGGTTGAGTTGTTCCTAGTTGGAAGCTTTGGATATGGGCTGAGTTTATTAGCCATGACGTGGCCATGGGCTGGTCACGACGTAAGAATCAATTGTTGGTGACGTTGACTATTGACTTTGACCTTGACCATTGACTTTTGGCATGGGTTGACTTTTAGTCAAATTTCTAGGTTTAGAAGGTTGAATAAGGGTTTACCTTGTGCGGTTTATTAGGAGGTGTATAGCACCGTTTATTATCTGTGAGAGCTAGTAGTTGTTAATTTCGTTGGCAAGGTGAGTCTTCTCCTTATACTTGTCTGTGTGGTAGTATATGCATGTTGACCAGTGGGGTCGTATTTGTTGATTGTTGTTATATGTGAACTGAGTTGTTGATAACTCCTGGACTGTTGTGAGTCCACGGGACTGCTGATAGTCCCCAGGGTTGCTGATAACTCGTGAGGTGCGCTGTAAATCTATAATGCATGTTGTTAGCCTACTAGGACTACTGATAGTCCCTAAGGTTGTTGATAACTCATAGTTGAGTATATTGTGTGTTGTATATGATATTCAGGACTGTTGATAGTCCTAGGGATGCTAATAACCCTTAGCTGATTATTATGTTGTGTTGTATGTGATATATTCTGGGAACTCACTAAGCTTTGTGATTACAGTTGTAGATTAAATATTTTGCAGGTACTTATCAGATTGTGAAGGCGGGACTGTACACACACATCAACCGTTTTATGATTCGAGATTCTGCATTGTATTCATTATAACTCTTATTTTTGAATAATGGGTTATGAACAAATGGTTTGCCCTGAATGTAATTTTATTAAAATGGATCTTATATTATTTAAAAAAAGAAAATTTTAGCCTGGAATTCTTGGGACGTTAAAATTTTACAGAAGAGAAAAAACGATTTCACAAATGGATAAAACAAACTTACTGGTTGGAGGACATCACTGGAGTAGTCGCTGGACGTCAGTGAAGATGGAGGAGGACGGTATGACGTGTGGGTTCTTGTTTCAGCGATTGAGGAAGAAGAGAAGCGTGAAAGCGATGAGGGTAAAAGGGGCAGTATTACTTACTATTCAATCAACGTTAATTTATAGATGGCACTGTAAGATATGAATAGACCAAATAAAAAGTGTAGGTCGTAGTATCAAACACTCTGACTCTGACCGAGTCACAACTGACCTCTTACCAAACCCAGTAAAAGGCTTACCAAACAAGACCTTAGTTCCATATAATATATATTGCACTTTTTATATCATTTACCCAGGGCCGTTCCAAACATATTTTGGGCCAGGGCGAAAAAAAATTTGAACCTTTAAAATACATAAATGTCATCAAGTTTTTTTATAATAACTCAAAATTTGAAAGGAAATTACTTGTACTATCTTCTAAATATAGTAATTTCCATAAAAAATTTAGGCCCTTTGAAAGATGGACCCTGGACGGTCGCCCCTATCACCCACCCTCTAGGACGGGCCTGATTTTACCTTGCGATACTTTAATGATTTGCATGATGATTTTAACCATGTATTTTTACTCTTTGCAATGCTTTACACAAATTTTGAAGATGAAAAGTTGTATTGAGTTTTAAAGAGAGAAGGGGGTTAAGATTTTTATAAACGTCTTTTTCATTTTTAGTCTACGATCTTACTAGTAGATTTTTCATGCATAACTATTTATTTTAACATCACTACAAGAAAAAGGGCCTTCTGTGACTAAAATATCAGAGACTGGTTAATCAGTCTTGGATACCATGTATCCAGGACTGATAAATTAGTCTCATATACTATCTAGGACTGACTTTAATGTGTGAATCATTAGAGACCGACCATATTTATTCGAGACTAAAATTCAGTCCCTAATCTATTTGAGCCAGTTTAGCTTAGGTGGGAAACACGAGGGACTGAATTTCAGTCTCAAATAGTCTAGCTTTACTCTGACTTTGGAGGGAAAGTTATTTGGGGATGAATTTTCAATCTGTGATATACCTGTGCCAGTTTTGTTTGTGTGTGAAACTTATTAGGGACTAAATTGTAACTGCATCAATTTGTCCTTTGGATGTGAAACTTTTAAAGACTGAATTTCAGTCCCTAATAGACATTCATTATTCGACATTCGAGTGAAAACCTATAACTGATTGAATTTTAGTATCTAAGACTGGTTAATCAGTTTTGGATACATGTATCGGTGACTGATGGATAAGTCACAAAAACTCTTTGGAAGGAAATTTATTAAGGACTCAAATTCAGTATTTGATAGACTAGCTGTATTTGACTTTGGAGGGAACATCATTAGGGACTGAATGTTAGTCTATGAGACATGTTATTTAGTAATATATACCATATATCAGAGATTAACGAATCAAACCACCTGATAAAAATATATCGGGGACTGAATTTTAGCCTCAAATAGTCTCATCGATTTTTCTGAGACCATGGGTATGGATTGATGGAACGGTTATTCTATCACATTCGCCCGCACAAAACCCTATCAATACCTAACCAAAATAGAAGGAAGACTAGCGACTACAAGGAGTCAAAGGACTAAAAGTGATAAAAATCAAAATAAATAAAAAATAAATAAATAAAAGAAAATATACAAATAATAATAAATAGTATTAATAATAACTTGGTTATAAATAGTTAACCTAATATGAAAAGTACATTTGTGTCAAGGACTAAAAGTGACAAAATCAAAAAGTTGGCAACACATAGATTTTTCTTTTGGGAGTAGAAGCTGTCATTATGGAAAATATGAAGGTTAAAAATGAAAATATGAAATTAGAAGGCATGAAATCCACTAGAAACTGATCGGATGAGTTTTGGGCTTCTTTTCCTTGTTACCCATTACTTATAGCTGGTGTCTAAGACCAACTCCAATGGATACATAAAAATAGTATTTTGGTGTGAAAATGTATTCCAATGGACTACTAAACTCAACACAAAAATGATGAGATTGAATAGTGGCCTCTATATTTGGTGTAAAACTATTCATCACACAAAAACATCTTTTTTTAATTGTTTAGTACTATTTTGGTTAGTTTTATAACTTTTACAACTTTAATAATTATTCTATTCTATATTATAATATGAAAATATGTTTTTAGTGTAAAATTTTAGTGTATGGTTGGTGTAGAAAAAAGTTTTGGTGTTAAAAATACACCCATATTTTTAGTGGAACGGTGGGAGTTGCTCTGATACCCTTAACCGAACCCTAATACCCCCAACCCCCAACCGGCAATCGCAAATGCATACGACGCATCAGGAGAGCAAGGGAGAAAGAAAGAGGCGGGAGAGAAGGAGGCCGGTGGAAATTGTTGGGTTTTTGCTGTCGGAATCGATCGCATGAGAATAGAGGGGAGTGTATGGGAAGGTTCAGATCGAAGCTTCTTTAAGGGTAAATCTTTCTTTTATTGTTTTTCCTTCCTAGCGAGTATGTCCTTTTGTCGTCGGGTTTTGGATTGCCACCATAAACCAATACCGGGAGTCTCTTGCTGTCGGCTAGCTGCTATGAAAACGCAATAGATCTACAAATCAAGGGTGGTTGTGCGTTGCTTGTACTCTAGCCTCCTGATCCTTGTATTAAACTAACTCTTATAGGGTGTGTGTGTGTACATGTGTGTGTGTGTTTATTCAATGTCATCACCACCTCTAGCCGCCATGCCAACACACTGGCAGCCTCCTGTCGCTGTGGTTCCTCCCAGCGCCGCCACAGGCCACCATTCCAAAGGTGGTTGTGGGTTGAGCCTTGTTGTAGCCTTGGTTCTAATGATCAAGCACTGGTGTTCTTTTTCTTTCTAGTTTATTCTTTTTTGTAGCATTGTACTTGTTAGTGGTTTGACCACCATAACTCCACCATTGACCACCATATGCCACCACTTGGATGTTGGCTGAATAAATGACTTTATGTTCCAGCTACATATCAGATTCCAAGTCTTAAGGGGTTAAGTTGAAAGCTTAACCTCAAACTCTAATGTTATAAATTTATAATATTATGTGATTAAGCCACTAATTTAAGCCTTGACGAGCCAAGATATTAATCCATTAAGTCATTAAGTCGCTTTAGTTCGCAAATTTTAAAATCCTTTTATGTGACCTTTGAATCTACTAAAAGTTATAACGTTGAAGTTTAATTATTAAGAATTTAATGGGTGGTTAAAACTTGACTTAACTGCTTAATGCTTTTAAGCCCTCAAATCTTACCCGAACTTTTAAAATTCATATAATGCTTTGTAAGAAACATTGGGAGGTGTGACATACATCGTTGGAAAGGTATAAATGTCTACTCTCTTTCGCCTTTAGATTTCCTAATCTGATTCTGATCCAAAATGGGTCGTTCATTTCGTTTTGTTCAGGGCTTCTCACAAGGTTGTTTGGCATTTTGCTGCATTCTTATTTCTTCTTCCATACTTCATATATGACCATAAGAGTGGCAAAATATCGTGAAACCTAGTTTTCGAGAAAGGTTAGTGTGTCTAGTTTTCGTGAACTTTGGACCACTTGACCTAATTCTATCCCTGGGAAGGACTTATGTTGTAATATTTACAACTGGTCGTGAAGTTGACAACTTTGAAATGTTAACTTGTAAAATGTGTATAAAATCAACCAAAAGTTGTTAGAGTGAGTTCCTTATATACATGGAAAGGTACAAGAGAGAACTATATAAATATATGTAATAATAACATAGAAAGAATGTGTCTAAGGGGAGTAAATCAGGCCTCGAACAGGAAGCTGTAACTAAAGAGAAAGTAAAAATAAAGGATAAATAAGTATAACATTAAAGTATAATTTAATTAGAGGTTGTTATATGTCATGTAGGTTCTAAGAAAGGTGGGAGTTCGTCTACCTCACAACACTACTATGCTCAGTGATCTACTTTCATTTCAGGTGAGTTACGCACGCTAACATACTTATTATTTGACATTGCATGTGTATGTGTAATATTAATGTTGTCCACGGATACCTTTGATCTTTGGTAGAGTGGACACGAATAGGTTTTTTTAACCATGATGATCATGACAGACCCATCGGGGGAAGTGTTCAGTCCCAATATGCTAATTTATGAGATAGACCCTTCAGAGGATTCTTCCTCCTGGTGTAGAGTTGATACCGCCCATATGTGATAGGAAATTGATGTGTTATGTGAATGCTATGTGAAAGTATGTGTTAATTGTACATGAATGATCGATGTAATTGGTGAGTCATGTATATGTTCACTAAGATTTATGCTAATTATACGTTGTTATTTAACATTTTTCAGGATCTTTTGGTACAAATAAAAGAGATAAAGGAAAGAAAATGGGACTGCAGGCGGCATTCTCTTAGTGATTCATATTTTCTTTTGGTGTTTAGATTTCTATAAGTCTAGGGTATTTTGTTTTCGCTCGTGTTTTTTAAATAATTTCCTTTGTAAAACTCTGATAATTGTTTATTGAATTTTAATTGAATGACATTGGTATTTTTATTTATAAAATTTAATTAAACGAAAAAAAATGGGTTTAGAAGTTTAGTAGACTGATATTCAGTCCCAAAATCATAGAATCAAGGGCTGAAATGATATAAGTGGGACCTTGAAGGAAAGATATTAGAGATTAAACATGATAGTATCAAAGACTAATATTTAGTCCTTGAAAGAGAGTATCAGGGACCGATACAACACAAAATAGACATTTCAATTAAACATATTGGCGGTCCCAACACAAAATAGACATTTCAATTAAGCATATTGGAGGCTGAATGATATATTATAAAGGGTTGATACTTAGTACCAACACAAAATAGACATTTCAATTAAACATATTGGCGGTCCCAACACAAAATAGACATTTCAATTAAGCATATTGGAGGCTGAATGATATATTATAAAGGGTTGATACTTAGTCCCTAAAAGATAGTATTAGGGACTGATATGACATTAAATCAGGAATTTGAAAAAAACAAATTAGAGACTAAATTATATATTATCAAAAACTGATTTTCTGTCTTTGATTCATAGATGTATTAGGGACTGATTTTCAGTTCCAGATACATAAAAATTCGACTATCTAGGACTAGATTTTGGGGACTAGCTAAATCAGTCTCTGATTTTTATTAGAGACTGATTACTAACTATCAGAGACTGATTATGTCAGTCTCTGATATCCATTTTTTTTGTAGTGCATGTGCTTACGTTAGTTGCGGGTACTTGACAATGTTTTGGAAAATCAAGTTGCTTGAGGACTTTTGGAAGAATTTGAGTGTTATATTTGAAATAGTTAGGCATTATTATAAAATCGTGTTTCTTATATTGCTTTTGATGCCCTTGTATAAACATTTTAACAACATATATATATATATATATATATATATATATATATATATATATATATATATATATATATATA